CAATTAAATCACAGGTGGACGTCAACCCAATCTAAAAATGAGATCTTTTTTCATGAAATGAAAATGACATCATATAATCAACTCATATGGTCAAAAAAATAATTGTTCATGGTGTAATATTAAATAAATAAATTTAATTAAATAATTAATAAATTTCTCCACTTAGAAATTTCTTCTACTCCTCTCATGCTCCCTACAGTGACAACAATAATTAAAAATTTTATTAAGAATAAAAATTATTTAAAATTAAAAGTCTAAAAATGAAAATTAACATTTAACATTTTAAACTTAACCGAGGAAACGGGTTGATTACGTCAGCCGCTAGAAAAAGGGTTGTTTGCATAGGTTAGAGGGGGTACGTTGCCCCAAAAAAAGCATAGGGATTGATATGCCACAATTTACTAGTAGAGGGGCTAATTTGCCCTGCCGAAAAAAAGGGGTTTCTTGGAAAATGTTAACCTTAGAAAAAGCAGGTTGATTTATAGCCCTCCATTCACATGGGTGAAAGAAAGTTTTGTCGGCAAAAGTAGTTGAAAGATTACATTTTTATTTATGTGATGCCCTCCACACCTCGCGTAAGAACAAGTCAGTCAACATTATCAAACGCCTTAAAATCAACGAAAATCTTTCACAGGATATGCTTTGGAAAAAGATGATCGTTCTTTCCTACATGCCTCGCATAAGAACAAGTCAGTCAACATTATCAAATGAGTTTTTTAATTTATGTTTTAGGGTGTTTTTTTTTATAAATATATAAAAATAAAAAATAAAAAATAATGTTAATTTTAATATTATAGAACAGTGCTAGAGGCACTCGCCTCTTGCACTCTCCGGCCAACACTTCCCATTTCATTGGGCCACGTAAGCCTGTTTCAGGCATTGAGGGCAACCTTTTACTGATCAGAATAACGTGACCCAATAAAAGTGAAAGTGTTAGCCGGAGAGTGTAGGAGGCGACTGTCCCTAGAGCTCCTCAAAAAGATAACATGACAAATTAAGATAACTCTGTTTTTAATTATTTTTTATCCAACTCATCGTAATAAAACATGTGACCTTATTTTTAATTAAAATCTCACTTTATAAAATTTTATGCTTTTCCATGAATAGATTTTGAATCCAAGGCTCTGTCTTTGAATTTGATGCAGGATAATGTGTTTTTTACAAAATTCAAACTCTATATTGCATATGAGAATGCACCGAGCCCTTCGGGGCTAAGTGGCAATAGCCATCATGGTGCATTCCCCCCTCCCGCAGGGTTGGGTTCCCCAACCCCTTGTAAAATCAGTTCAAAAAAAAAAAAAATATTGCATATGAGAATGAGTATTCCCACCAAAAAAAATATATATATATATATATATAAAAGAATGAGTACCGTAAAGGGACATGTACCATATATACTGGATAATTTAATGCATTGCCTTTTTTGTTACATACGTACTGGGCAACGGTTGATACGTTAACCATGGCTTAGTATATATGGACATGAATACTTTGATTATTTAATTTAGTAATAAATTTAATTT